TGACGGTCACGACTTTGTAATTCCTGTCCACTGTAAACTGTTTTTACTTCTTTATACATACTTTTCAGACTGCCTTTCTTTTTGTAATTTCTGGAAGGTTTGTAAACGAATGATGAAGCTTTTCCCCCACTGTGTCTTCAAAAACTATATTGTAAATTGTAATATAATTGTATGTGGTAGATGGATTAAAAAGGCCGATTCTTGGTGTGTGAAGTGCTGTGCGGATGTGTGCATGTGGACAGCTAGGGTGACGTATTTTCTAGAAATAAACTTTGTTATTTTGTACAATGCCTTGCCCTTTATCGTTATTTTAAAAGACTCTTATCATGTGGGGGGGGGTGGAATTCCTTTCTGCTACATGGCCATAAAGAACTGTATGGGCTTGGGATTTCTGGGACCACTTAAAAATATGATAAAATATGTTCTAGGAGTCATTTATGTGACACACCTGGTGGCAATCTTTGTGGGAAAACAGACAGCAGCAATCAGATGGGGTCTATGTGTTACCAGAGACACGCATGCAGCAGAGACCACAAGAATCCACTGAATTTGTGGCTTCACACCAAACCTCTTAGCAACAACACCCCTGGCACCTTTTCCAGGGATATTAAGAAAGAACCACGCAAACTCAACACAAGCTAAATGCAGCCTAACTTACTAGATAGGTCTACAGCGGTTTCCCTCTGCAGGCTCAGTTCCGCTGGCCACATGTTTCCTGGGATGTGGTGAGATGCAAGGGCATGGTAGAGAAAGGGTGCTCTCTTCAGTGTGGCCAGAAAGCAGAAGGCATGAGGGACCAGGGGACAGACACCCTACACACACACACACACACACACACACACACACACACACACACACACACAAAGCAATGTTCCCATTGAGTTACTTTCTCCAGCCAGGCCCCAGCTCCTAAGAATCTGTTCGGCTATAAACTCACTCAGTAGTAACTGCCTGAAGAAGCCACCGTCCCCACCAGTGGGTCACTTCCCAAGAGACCCTCAGATGGCAGCCAAGCCCTGAGCATACCAGCCTTTGGGGGACAGTCTTAGGTTCAACCCTTCACAGTAGAAACTGTTCTAAGAGCTAAGACCAGACCATCCATGGCAAGATGAAACTAACAGTTCAAACGCACCACCTCATGGGCCGATGCACACCAATGGAGTTACAGCCACAGCCGCAATGTTAGTTATGTAGAACTTATCCGTTTACCTGTCGCATGTAAACAGAATTCTCACAAGGGGGAAAAGAACCAGCCAAGATCACTAGGACAACCGCTTCTCTGGATTGGTGACTTTCCTCAATGCTCTAAAGGAAGGGTTTATTCTGGCCGCAGACTGGGGGGATTCGATCCAGTGTGAGGCAGCTGGCCACACGGCACTGCACCCGGATGGACAGAAGAGACATGATGAAGCTCCTCACCTGCCTTTCTCTCCTCAGTTACACCTCTCCTGACACCAACACAGACAGGTCCAGGGGTTCCATGAAGAGTCTGGGTCCCTTCGGGTCCACAAGGAGAAGGAACTATTCTGCCTCACTTAGTCTTGTGATAACATTGACAATGCTCCCCCCCACAACAAATAAACTACAGTCATAAATCAAAGGTAATAAGGAGCTAGACTGACCACCCCAACCTCTTGCTTGAAACTAACTATGACTTTCTCACAATCAAGGCTCTTCCCTGCCTAGAAGGAAGGGGCTTCCACCACACCCTCACTGGGTTGAAACTCAAAGGCAGTATCCTTTTTGGAGATGCCATAGAGAGACATGCCTTTTCTACAGCTTTACACTTCATCAAAAATGGTCAATACTGAGTTCATAAAATACGCAAAGCAGGCTTGATATCACATCACTAGTTTAGACACAAACATGCCCCCCCGCCCCCATCTCGGAGTCACTTGGGTCTAAACCTGACAATGCGCTTTACAGACAAGGATGGTCTAGCTGGTGGCTTGACATAATCTGTACCTGACCAGTGTGCGTGCCGTCTAAATGAACTGTTTCCAGAAGTCCCACTTGAGAAAGAAGAGATGTGATCTGCTACAGATAAACAAGGCAGTTCCTTTGACACTGGGAGAGTGTTCACTCTCCCAGACACAGTCCTGGGAGAAGGGATAGTCCTGTCCCTTGGGGTAGGGCCCATGGATTGGGAGGACCACAATCCACGCCAGCTCTGTCTCTCCTCCTGCCTCTTCCCTGAGAGCTCAGCCCTCCTTGGCCATTCACAACAGCTGATGTCTTTGGTTCTAGCCTGATACTCACCAAAGCACAACAGTCCACTCCCCCAAACTACCTCGGAAGTGAATGGAAGAAAGGGTGACTGATATGTCCCCTCCTTTGCTCAGACACCTCCTTCTGCATCCCTCTGTAGCTTAGGAGCCAAAACAACACAGTTCATTTTCCACCTTGCAAAGCTGGGGGTCAGCCTAGACACACAAGGGTGAGTTTTATATTCCTATTAGCATTTCCTGGCCCCCTGAGTTGACTGAGTTCTTCGTGGAAGTACAATCTCCTATATTGTCTACTGTTGCTCCCTCCCCGTGTTCCACATCCCATTGGCTCAGGATGCAAAGCCTTATCTTGTATGTTCTGGGACTTGAGATTCGCTCCTTTTCAGATAGTGTGCTCAGCCTGTAACCTTTCAATCCTAGGATGAACAGAGAGGCCCAGAGAAGCAGGCAGCAGCTGCCTTCTAGGGAAGACGAGCCCAGCTCCTGCTTGTCTGTGATTCTCTGATGAGCTCTAAATGGTCCTGATCCTGGAAAGACCACATACCCTGAGCACAGCTACTTAGCTGCACAAACCTCTTCCTCTCTATTTGAGCATAAGCCTTACATCCAGATCCTAAGGGTGGCTTTGGGTCACTGATCTCTTTCCTTTCTAGGGTGGCCCTGGTGAGTGTGGTCTTCACTGTAACTTGTCTGTTCATTGGCTCTTGGGGGATGGGTGACTGAGCTCAGCTTGTCAGGGCTACCAAGGTCTAGCCTCTGACCCCAACAACTGTGGTGACAGAAGGGTGGAATCTTAGGTTAACATGCAGAAACCACTCTGGGATCCAAGCAGGATCCAAGCGGTTTTACCATGGATCCAAGGCAGGGTGGCCCTGTCTGGGTAGCTCTGCTATCCTGGGAGTTTGGGTCCCGGGGAAACCTTCAGGTTGGCTCTCCCAACCAAATGAAGAAAGGGTATTCTCTCCAGGTGAGGGTGACGACCTTGTACCTCATGAGACAAGTCCACCTACAGCAAAGGCAAGATAGGCTACATCCTATACACATGACCAGTCAGCATCTACCCACATCTCCGGACAAATGATCTGTGCCTGTCACTCTGAGTCTCAAATTCCTAGTATAGGCCAGAGCCCAGGGCTGGTGTCATAGCCAGTGGGCAAGAGATTCCCAGCACCTGACACTGGGTAGGGTCATATGAGAGAGAGAAAGAGCGAGAGCGAGAGAGAGAGGGAGGGAGAGAGAGACAGAGACAGAGAGAGGGGGGTTGGGACGGAGGGATGGAGGGAGGGAGGGAGGGAAGGAAGGAGGGCACAAAAACCCCTTTGAGAACAACCTGAGCACCCAGTTATGGGTATGAAGCTTTTGGAAGAGGTGGTCAGAGGTATGCTGTAGCTCTAAGGAGATTCCAGCCTCCTGCCAATCTTTGGGCAATAAAGCTGTGATGACCCGTTAGACACCAAATCTGAGTTTGAAACCCTAATACTGTACTTCCTTTCTCAGGGTCCGAGAGGCTGCCTCCCTCTGGTGTCAGACACAGGATGGGTTAAAGGCTGCATGCCATGAACCCAGAGGGTGGCTCAGAGCTGGCTTTTAGAACAAGGAACGAAAACTGCTTTTTGTTTACGATACATCAATAAGGCCAGATCCTAGCGGTACCACCACAGAGACGTCCACAAAAGTGAAGTGACACAGAAACTTTATTAAGCTGTGCCAGGGGCACACACACATCACCACTGTGTAAAACTCATCACACCGTAGTCACTCCAAGGTGCTCTTGTGACATAAATAACTCCAAGCCTCCTCTTTGCCAAAAAGCCTGATGCGGCCATCCCTCACCTGGCACCTGAACTGGCCCACCAGCCACAGCCTTGCAGCCTCTAGGGACAGAGACAGCTCTTACTCCCAAAGTCTCCTGCAGAAACTGGCACCCGTAACTCACACTGCTTCCATTTTTCTTTTCTGTTTGTTAAGACAAAGTCTCACTATGTAGCCTAGGCTGACCGGGAACTTGGGCTTCCCCCGGCTTCACCTCCCGAGTGCTGAGATCACAGGCGTGTGCCACCACACCCAACACATTACTTTGGAGAGTGGAATCCTATCCCAAAGTAGTCTCCTGTAGTTTAAAAACAAAGAAAACACAGGCTTTCAAAAACTAAAAAACTGTTAAATAAAGTGGTCACTAATTACTCTTGGTAAGAAAATTTCGAAACAAAACAACAACACTCACTCCATCTTTATAACCTAACTCTTAAAAGAAATACAGAAAGGCACCCCTGGTCCTTTTATCTTTAGAACCTGAGGTGTCAGAGTCCCACATAGCACCACCTAAGATGCTCTAGGTATTCTTGCCTGTGTCATTTTCTCCTTTAAATTCAAACTTGCATAAAAGAGAGAGAGAGAGAGAGAGAGAGAGAGAGAGAGAGAGAGAGAGAGAGAGAGAGAGAGAAGCGTACAGTAGGACATGCTCCTCCCAGGAGCACCTCCGAGAACCTGCCGACACGGTTGCTTTAGGAAAGTCTATCTGTGGTACCATGGGCCCTTGCCACCACTCTGCCAAGCAAACTGTCACAAAACACTATGAGAAATAAAGCAAACAGCAAACCTTAGTCAACTCTGTAGCCACTATAAACCACCAACTAAAAACAAACAAACAAACGAACCAGCGGCCCACGACCCCCACCCCCAACATCCCGCTAGAACATCATCATCTGAAAAACAGAACTGAAGGATTGGCAGAGCTCTGAAGGAAACCAGCATGCAGGCTCTCGCTGCTGGTTAGAGGTAGTAGAGGCGGTTGGACAGGGAGAGGTTCGGCTCTCTGTGGATGCTCTGGCCCACGAGGAAGGCCAGCTTGTGTGCATACTGGCAAGGTGCAGGGACTCGGATGACTCCCTGTGGGGGAAAGAGGACCAGTCACTGGGCTGAGTTGGGCGGAACTCCCAGGGTCCCTACCACAGCACGCTAAACAGGGCAGGTGGTCCGTAGCGGGAACTCAGACAGAAGTCCACTCACAGGCCAATTGTAGTACACGTGGCAGAGCTTGTACGTCAGCCGCTGGATGTGGTCGGGCTTCAGGCCACTGCTGTCATAGATGACATTGTAGTGTGTTGGGGACACGCTCCCACTTCTCACTGCCTGGCTCACAATGAAAAAGTCATACCTGGAAAGGCAGGAAGAGCCAGACAAGGCTAGGACACACTTTCTATGAGGAAAAACCTCATGTTCTAAACAACCTCACCTTTCTCCAGCCCCAGTGTGTCTGTGACAACTGGCTAGCATAGGCTCTTCGTGAGCCACTGTGGTCGTGTGCATAGAAGACTGAAGGCAAAACGGTTTCATACGTGTGACCATGTCAATGCCACAGGGCATGCTGCCTACACTCCAGGGCCTCATGTCCCCTGCATGCTGTAGGGAGGGAGGGGACTTGCACACATGGCACAAGGCAGCAGCAGCAGCAGCAGCAGCAGCAGCAGAATAGGGTTCAACCAGTTCCTCCTGCTGCTTCCGTCTTAGAAACAGCAAACAAACATAATCACTAAAAATTCAGAACAAGTTCTTATTCTCTTGTTCCTCTCCTGCCTTCTTGCTCCCACTCTGTCTCCTCGCCCCTTCCCTATTCCCTCCCCACCTCTCCCCCTCCACACGCTCATGGCCACCCTCTTCTCCTCCTCCTCCTCTCCTCCCTCCCCTCCTCTTCTCCTCCCTCCCCTCCTCTTCTCCTCTTCTTCCTCCTCTTCTTCTTCTTCCCCCCTCTCTCTCCTACCCTCTTAACTCCCCTCCCCATGCCCTGAATAAACTCTATACTAAAAAAAAAAAAAAAAAGGATTCAGAACAAATGTTCAAGAGCCAGAGGTAGAGCAGCTGCACACAGCGAGTAGAGGACCCAAGCTAAGGCCACGGCTAAATAGCACACTAGGAAACAACTGGACAGCCATCAGAGTTCTTTGGTCCCTGGCACCAATGGATGTCAGCCAAAAGCCCCTGTGATCTGACCCTAGTGACAGAAGAAAATCAACCTGGCAATCCTGATGTCACCTAACTAGATAAATTGGAAATCAGAAGTGGCCTACCCTGGAGCCTGTTGGGAAAGAATGAGTCGGAGACACTCAGTGATGCACCCACCAGGAACACATGTGCTCTAACTGGAAGAGGGACATCTATGCAGAATTCAGGCTGCCACCATCAGAGGTTCCTGCTGCTGGCTCCAAGAGCCTGAGTGGCTCACAAAGCTACAGAGCTTGACCAGCATCTGGAGAGAACACACATCTGCCACTCTCAAACTCCCTGAGTGCTATCCCTAAGCTCACGGGCTCCTAAACCTCTCTTCTTGTTGAGTGCGCTGAACACTCGGTGATAGTGACAGGCTCCATAAAGGGTCAGAGAGAGGCCTCAGACAAAGACCAGCCCTTCCTGGGTCTCGGCCTCAGCTGACTACCCTACTTTGCTCCTTATGTGACAGTACGCTCCTCCAGAATCAATTCCATAGTCAGCCTCTGAGCAAAAGACCCGAAAATTGTGTATTCCGACAGTTCATTCAAATATCTGAGAAGATGGCACAAAAACCATGTGTGGCCATTTCCATCTCTGAGATGCAGGGGCCACAAATGCTTCAGAGTTCAGACCTCGGAGGATGTGCTGAAACTAGTCTATTGGTTTAACACCCAATTTAGGTTTTCAGATCCACAATGCTCAGCCGTTATCAGCAGCTCATGCACCCGGGTCAGGCAAAGCAGGGACACTAAGGAGGTTCTCAGCCATCACCTACAATGCTGGAAGCCCTCTCCAGCCTCACGTTCTGAACAAAGAGTGGCTTCAGACTGGGTGGTGAATGGCTGCCTTCGGGGACGAAGCTTAGCACCCTGAACACCCATCTCAACCCCAGAAGAGAGCTGGTGAGGAGGTCAGCAGAGATGAGTATCCGTCCACCTACACGCTTCAACCTGTGTGCTGTGACCAGCCTAGCTCCCTCTTACTTTGTTACTTTGGAGTCAGCTGCAGGCTACAGGTCTGCTGACACACAGACCCTTTCATTACCTTGACTCCTGGAGGACTGTGTGAGGATTATATATGTAAAAACACAGATGCTCACTCCAGAAGCTGTTCCTAGAGTCTCAAATACCACACAGGAGACAACTCTCCAGTTCCCAAAGATCCAGCTTTGGGGGGGGGGGTTTGCCACCCAGGGTCTCAAGAGAATCCTATACTTGAGGAAGCTGTCAGACCAGGTTAGCAGAAGAGTTAAGATGCCCAAGAAACACGGTGTTAGGAACTGGAAGACAGACAAGCTCACACTGATAGTCGAGCGGTCCCAGAACTCACCACTCTGGTCTGGTGACTTCCACGTCAATGACTGTCCCTGGAAGAGGGTTCTGAAGTCTTCCCCCAGACTGAGCAAAAAACCTGGCATTCACACGCTTCTTCACAACAATCACTGTCAGTCTTGGGCTGGGGACAAAGAGGGACATAGCCACCCTGAGTTGGTGGCCTGTCTAGGCAAGAAGTCACATGCTCACTCATCCCTCAGAGAATAGCCCCTGTCTTGAACCATCATCTTACTGCGTGCTTGAGGGGGGGTCTGCACCTTCCTCCGGGTGAGACCGAAGGCCAGAAGTGACCTGGAGGGTGGACATATGTCACTTGTGTGCTCTGTGACATGAGGTTAGTCAGATGTGGGCACAGATCATATCTGCTGCACCTGTTATACCAAGATACTGCCCTCAAGAGACCTCCAGAGTGCTTGTGGTATCACAACGGACATTTCCTACTTGGAGATCTAAGAGAGCTGGTCCAAGGGCCATTCATGTCTGAACTAGTAGATTCCAGAATCACTGGCTCCAAATGGATCACAGGTGGTGTGTGTGTGTGTGTGTGTGTGTGTGTGTGTACGTGTGTATACAAACATCCTCTACTGTATACTGTGCTTTCCAAGTTAACATTTGTGCAATACGTTAAATACAAACACACACCATCAGGAAAGACAGTTTGACCTTCATGCCCACTATTTCCCTGGAGTCTCAAGGACACTGTGCTGATCTCTGCAGCCCACGGTCAGTGGCTGTTTCAGGGAATATACGCATTACCGCCAGCTCCCTCTGTATTGCTGACACTAATGGGAAATAGTAGATGCCCACCCAGAGAACGTGGCCTGTAGACAGTTCTCCCTGGGGCAGTGGGTAGTCTGCTGGAAGACTCGCCACCTCACCCTCCAGCGTTTTGACATGCTCCTCTTAAATCCTTTGGGACAGTCACTTGCGGATACATAATCCCCATGGAAGGCAGGGGGCCAGGCCTCAGAGTTAACCCACATCTAACATGATCGGCGGTCTTGATCCAGGTGACATCAGTTACTCCCAAGCTCAGACATGGCTGACCCCCATTCTCAGGCAGAAGGGGTCCTACTTCTCTTTCACAACACGGTGGCAATAGGCAGAAAAACAGACTTTACTGGGAGAAGTGGGGTCATGCCAGAAACGTCACCAGCTGCCCGTGAAGCTCTGCTGTTTTAAGGCCTGCCAGCTGCTTGCAGCTCTGGGTAGAACACAGAACATGGCTGGGACCTTCATCCATGTGCTGTGTGCCACGGGCTCGGTTTCAGATGCATCCCTGCCTAGACTGGGCTCAGAGTGGGAGCTCGGGGTGGCGTGGTGATGGTGGTGGTGGTGACTGCTAAGGACAATGAAAAGTGTCCTGCCCTGAGAGAACCACAGGAGGTGAATAGCGCTGAGCTAGAACTTAACCAGACCCAGTTTCAAGGGACAGGAAGGCTCCCCTGACTGCCTGCTCAAGCCTGCCTCCCTCGATCCACAAAACCTTCAGCCCAACTTCTATGAACCTCGGGTGCCCTTCTTCTTGCTGTCGAGTGACACTAGGCTCAGAGTGGGCAGCTATGTCAGACCCATGGACTTACTTGTAACCTCTCCCGACTGACTTGAGGCAGTCTAGGAACTGTGGGACCTCGTAATTGACCAGGGTCTTCAGCTGCCCATCTCCCACACCGTCTCGATACACGATGACCCGGCTGGGCATGTATTCATTGCAGCTACTCCAAGCCCTTAGAGCAGCTGAAAAAAAACCGGGATGGGGGTTGGGGGACAGGGAAGGTTTTGAGTTCACAATCCCTGTCTGTCCCAGCCCCAGCCACTTTCAGTAACAGCCCAAGGGCCCCACTCAGGACAAGGGTACACAGACCCACCTTGCAAGCACACCTTGAGACCGTCCACCAGCTCCTGTCCACGGTCCTGAAAGACGCAGCGGGAGAACCAGCTGTTGAGACAAAAAGCAAGGGGGTGAGGACTTGGGTCTGCCAGGCTCAGCAGTTCTGGGCTCTGGCCTCCTATGAAGATTCCTGCCACCTTCCTCCCATTTCCAGGAGCCCCTGGCTAAGCAGAAGAGCAAGAGACTGTTTCTAGATGCCCATGACAGTTCTAACACAGCAGTGCCATTTCTTCAGCAGAGACAAGTGACCAGCCAGAGTCACCAGGGAGGACCAGAACAAGTGTTCACTGCTCTGCTCCTAAACAGATCATGTCTTCCATGCCCCTGTCCCTCTGTTCCCCAAGACCAAGGTCACAGCCATTGACATTTACAAGAAGCACTTGGTCAGGCTCTGGGCTCTGCTGCTGTGAGCTGTTCCCTCATCCCACAAACACATTGAAAATTAATGTTGAAAAGCAAAAGGTTGAGCCAGCTAGGCTGTCACACTGAAAAATGTGAGTCACGCTTGGGGCCAAAAACAGCTGTCAACCCAAGGCACTTGGAGTTGGCCACCTCCATGGCTTACCGGGTCATCCCTTCATTGATGCTGGCAACGAATCCAGCGATGGACCTCCGCCCGGCTGTGGTGTCATGGTAACAGTCGATGCCCACGATCATTACCAGCTTCAGCTTTGGTGAAAACAGTGTCGTTTAGGTATGTGTGTGTGGCACAGAGACCGCAGCCATGAGCAGGGCACCTGTCCCTAAACAACCACGTGACCACCCTGTCACCCAATGAAAGCAGACTCACAGGCATGTCCACCCGCCAGAGCTCGCCTCCCATCTTGCAGTTCATCTGCAGGGCGATCTTGGTGGCAATGGCCATGACTGTCTGCTGCTTGCCCAGGGTCCGGGCCACCACACACTGACTGGGGGTGGGGCAGTCGGTACACAAGTACTTCTTGATGGCGTCATATTTGTCCTTCCGATTACTTGACAAGAGACAGACAACCTGAGAAGAAAGCAAGCACCTCATTACAGAGAACCAGGAAGTGCTCACGGCTCCGTTCCTGACAGATCCTGTCTTCCATACTTCCCCTGTGGTCCTGAAGACCAAGGCCACAGCCTTTGACAAGACTCTTGGAAGCCGAAGAATAGGGGACAGGCCTGAACCCTGTGGTACAAAGGACACCTGTCGCTTATATCACCATGGGGCTAGTCAATGGGGTGACATTGCAAGTCCACTCATTTTATTCTAAGTGACAGACATGTACACGGGAGGCTCTGCACATAAACAAAGCCCTTGCTACCTGAGACCTGAGCACAGCACACAAGCATCATGGGTAAGTCAGAGGAAGACAGGGAATACCTTCACAGGTGAGGTGGACAGACATACAGCTCTCTGAGCCTTAGCTCACAGCTCACCTGGACACACAGCTTTTAAAGCCTACTTCTGGCTTGGGAGTCTGGTCAGGATATAAACTTTCCCAAGAAGCATGTTGAGGACAATTTTGAGGACAAGACTGAGTCCCTGACCAGAGCATCCCCCTGCCCAAACTCTGAGGAGCCACAGTCAAGATTATAAAGTCAAATGTAGCATATGACTCACAATTGCAACCCCCAGTGTGACCTAGACTCTTATCTCTGGTCCCAGTCAGCTAGGCTCCGCCTGCTGCCTCCATTATACTAGGTAGCATGGTAGCTATCTGTCTGTGGCCTCTGAGAAGAAAACGAAGGCAAAGGGGAATAGTGGGCGGGGCATGCCAGGTCTCCAGCCATGTGGGCAACCTTTTCCTGCCCCTCATGGTTATGTGGCCTCTTGAAGCAGGGGGGTATGGGGCACATTCCTTCTGTGCTATTCACTGCTTCTGACTGAGCCAGACAGAAGCTTCTAGCTAGTTCTTAAAGACCACTTGCACTGGCTTGTTGAAGATTTGGAGTCTAGTGAAGCAGTGTTCAGACAGAGGCTCCCTGGCATAGGACTGGACACTGAAGGTTCTGACCTGGTGGGTGGTTAATCTGCCTACTTAGCCATGCCTTGGTGACACTGGGAGACGGTGGAAATGACAAGAGCTGAGGCAGAGTGCTAAGGTGGCTGTTGCGGGCACACTGGAGGATATGTCTGGTTCCTTTTCTTTCTACTCTGGGACGATGGGGTGAGCAGCTGTGAATCTGCACATCCTCCTTGCTGGGATGCTCTGCCTCTCCTATGGTCCAGAGACAATGGGGCCAAGGGAGCCTGGAGAGAACCTCAGAAACAGGAGCTCCACCATCTTTTCCCTCTTGGCTATGGCTCAGTGATAGAAGTCTGACCAGCTCACAGCTAGACACACCCCTTCCGCAGTCAGCTGTAAGCCAGCACTGGGCATCTCTCACTGCAGCCACAGAGGACTGTGGCCCCTCCCCTGATGGTCCATTCTCCCACGACTCAAGGCAGCGGGGGGAGGGGAGGGGAGGGGAGGGGAGGGAAGGGGAGGGGGTGGAGCTTCTCATCACTCACTTGCTTCAGGTCACTGTCATTACAACTTTAAGCTTAAGCAGTTACTGGTGTCACAGAATCTGTTCCTTGGGGCTTTGTATCATTCTTTTTTTTTTTAAATTATTTACTGATTTTTTTTATTTTTATGAATACACTGTTGTTGTCTTCAGACACACCAGAAGAGCGCATAGGACCTCATTACAGATGATTCTGAGCCACCCTGCGGTTGCTGGGAATTGAACTCAGGACCTCTGGAAGAACAGTCAGTGCTCTTAACCGCTGAGCCATCTGTCCAGCCCCTTTCAAGCAGTTCCCATCAATCCCCGGGCTAATGAGAGCTGCAACAGTGGCCTCAGGACTTGAGGATGCAGAGATCAGCAGAATGAACCAGAATGTGGGCCCTGATCAGCTGGGGAACTTGAAGAGCTCTTAATCGGCCATGCTCTGAGTGCACACGTGCAGGGCCCCTCCCTCACAGGGCTGGAATGTGGGGACTGGAGGAAACCAGTCTCCCACCTTTAGCCAGCAATGGCTTCCTGCCCCACAGAAGGTCTGAGCTTCCTGGGAAGAGGATAGTAACAAGGTCTCACGAGGCTGGCTGCTGTCCTGAGCGCTGACCCCACCCTGCTGCTGCACTGTCTCCATCTCAATCCCTCCCTGCCTGTGAGGGTCTAATATAACAGCAACAGGGCAACCAGTAGCACAGCCAGAAATCAGGGTGGCTCAGCCTTCAGAGCCAGAAGCCTTTGCAGGAAACACACAAACTTAGACACGTGCCTGGCGTGAGCAGATGTGTCAGGTGGTGGAATCGCAGGCCCCAGCACTGTGACGCCACAGACAGCAATGCCAGAACTAAGAGGCCCCTGGTGGCGGTCCATACCTCTAAGACCCAGCTTAAAACTGGACCAGTGATGAAGTCAGAGGTGAGGAGAGTGAGAGAATGGGGTGATGCTCTTGTCCACGGTAATCCAAAGCACCACCGTCTGGTTCTCCCTTGTCACACCTCACACAAGCACTATGAAGACTCCCACAGGTACGCTGAGGAGCCTGTGCACGGTCACCTCACCCTGGGGTCTGCAGTCTGGCTCTTGGCCTCCTCCTGTGACCTCCAGTTTCTATAAACATCCATGTCTGCTGAACAACCAAGAATTGACTCTTCCTCATCTGCCTTTCTGCATTCCCCAAAGCTTCTAGAAGCATCGGTTCCAAGGCAGAATATGGCATCTCCTGGCCTCGTGCAAGGTACACACTGACACAGGCACCAGGTCAGCAACCTTTCTGAGGTCAAATGTGCGTTCTGAGGACTAACATCTGAAAAGCAACTCAAAACCCCAGTCCTCTGTCCCTAGAGACCCCCCTCCTCCAGGCCCCAGCATGGCCTGCTCCGAGTGGCTACTCACTATCTGAGTGTCTGATGTCACCTTCTGCTGCAAGGCTCTCAGATAAGCTTCTGTTCTGTCGTCAACCTCGATCCTAGGATCAACAATAAAGACAAGGTGGTACACGACCTTCCGACCGTCACACAGCCTTCCTTTAGCAATCCCAAATGGGACAAAGCCGAGGTGCAGGAGCATCCACACAGTGAAGGGCAGGGACGGTGGTTGTCAATCGGCACCACTGTCTGGGCTTCAGTGCCTATTCCTAGAGCATCCCTGCTCACCCTCTTCTCCCATCCGACCCCTCTGTGTGGAGGGATGGAGCCATGGAAGCCATGGAAGATAGATCACAGAGCCCCCAGGAGCTCGCTGGGGCACCACTTTGAAGCATGTATACCCTTCTCATAACTGCCCATCACTCTGCAGACTAGGGAGGAGCTGGCTGGCCCTGGACCACTCACATGATTGCCTTTTTCATCTGGATGCCCATGGCCGGAGTCACTTTGAACAGGTTCTGTATCAGTGAGTTGGCCGCTTCGTAATTCCTGCGGGTATAGATCAGCAGCCAGTTATCCAATGGCTTCACGCTGATCAGCGGCGCGCCTCTTGTTTCTTTGGACCAGTCTGCAAACTGTGGGTTGTAATCAAACTAGAACAAAGGGCAGAGATGTGACCGTCAGCTGGGATGGAGCCACCAGTCTCGTACAATCCCATCATGCATCTGGAACCACAGACGACCGACCAGACTTAAGCTTGAATCAGAGGGACAGATCCAAAGTCCCCAGTGGAGAAGACACCAGATGTACCCAGGGGCCTTTCTGACACTACATCCTTCCAAGTGCCCAGGACAAGCTCTCCCCTTCTGCCTCCTAAAGGCTTATTGAAACAACTTACTGAGTGCCACTTCCCTCCTCACGATAAAGGTATAAAAATTAAGGCTCAGGCTTGGGGTGGTGGCTTACGTTTACAACCCCAGCACTCAGGAGGGAGAGGCGGGCTGGAGGCCAGCCAGGTCTACACAATGAAATCCTGTCTGGGATGGGAAAGAAAGCTAAACCCCTTGACAGTGGTGTCCTGGGCAGAGAACTAGTTCTGGGAGGAGCTCGCATGGTCATAATCTCAGAGAACACCCAGAGAGCCTCTAAGGTCCCTGTGACTCCGTTGTCCCTACACCTGGCTAGACTGTTTCTCTCAGTCCTACCTAGGACAGGAAGGCACAGACTGCTAGAAACAGTTTAAAAGGTGTGGGTATTTGGAGCATTTTAATTTCATAAAACTTATTTTGGCGATATCTTGTCTTAGCCTGACTCCTGAGAGACATGGCCCAGGCAGAGACGAGAAAGCCAATCAAACGAGACTTCCTGGTAGGGAGGGCTCTCTGCATCCTAACTTGCACTGCTTAAAAACTTCAAGTCTTCTTTTAGCGGATCGTAGCTTGTTCCAAGGACTGGGCTTTGAGTTCTACATGTGCTAGACTCACAGGCTGCCTCTTGCAGGCTGCCAGTCAGGTGGGTCCTGTGCTCTTCCAGAGAAGGATGAGGGGGCGGGGGAGAAGCAGTCTGATGCATGGCGGGTTGTCTCCTATCCCAGGGAGATTCATCCCAGAACTACCCCGCCAGCTGCCTTACCGTCTTTCCGCCCTGGTGGATCTTCTCCGATTGCAAGATTCTTCCCGAGAAGGACAGCAGGTTTGAGTCGAAGCTCAGGCCCCAGTCTCGCAGCTCTCTCTGAACGTTGTCATCCCTGTGGGTTGAACATAAGGACCCGGCCCTGCTGAGCAGGCAGCAGCCAGGCAGGTGACCCACATTTGGGTGGACAGAGTACCACTGCGGCTTGCAGCACACTTCGAGGCTACCCTGGGCCTGGATCAAAGGAATAAGCTTCTCTTTACCCCGTTATAGAGTCCCGATGCCCAGACTGCCACCCACTGCAGAGTGACCCACAGTCAGCACGGGCATGTGTGTCTGACAACTGCTGGCTCTTCCCTCCCACTGCCGTTCCCTGGCAGGACTGGAAAGGACACATCTGCATATGATGTTTCACTTCCTGGCTCCCTGAGAAGCAGCTGGTCCCAAGAACCCAGGACCAGCCCTCCTTTCGGCTTTCCAGAATCCTCCCGGACCCACAGGGAACCCTGGTTGCTGGGAGTGCTGTGCCAGCCTACTTGTGGATGTAGTCGATGAGGCGGCCCACCTCCCGCTGCCGCTGCTCAGGGGTCAGCCGCGTGTGCACCGCCAGGTCCTTCATCACGTTGAAATCATTGCGCATTTTATCAGTGAGGCCTGCAACCAGAGGAGTGCAGGGGAGAGCCAGTCAGCAGAGCTGTGGCGCCCCCAGGAGGGTGTGGCTAGGGATGAGCCAAGAGGACCCAGGAACAAGGAATGCAATGCACCTGTGAGGTAGCACAGCTCCGGGATGAGCATAGCTGGGCCAGGCATCGTGCCACCCGGGCCTCTCCTCCGCTTGGGCTGGCTCACCAGCACTGGCTGCTTCAAGTCCGTGATCTCCTGGTTGTATTGCTGCTCAGGGGGAAAGGAAGGTAGGCTATGCACCAACCAGGCAGTGTGCACACCTACGGATGCAGTAAGTGCCTCATTAACAACGTGTCAACCACCCTGAGGGGTAATTAGTGTATGTACTCCAGAAGCCATTGTTCCTTCCACCAACTGAAAGTCTGGGAGAAGGAAGGGTGGGTCTGACCCAGCTCTCCCAGGAGGATGAGCTCCAGGTAGCCAAGTCCTCAGGACTTAGCTAATAGAGGCCTGACCATGGTGACATAGAACAGACCTCTCAGGTTACAGAGTCACGGTGCTCCCAGCCCCAGGGCACGAAGGCTCTTTCCTGACATCTATAGTTCTAGAAGCTGCTTAGTCCACAACAATTTGATTTGGATGAAATTTTTTTTCCACTGAGCATAAAAGGCAGGTCATTATGTCAATTAGCCAAGTCGTACCAGTCTAGCCTCAATGCCCACCCTGGGGGGCAAGGTGTCACCAGCAGGCCATGCCATTTAAAAACCTGACTCGTGTCTTTTCTCCTGTGTCCTAAAGAACCAACCACCAGGGTTTAAAAAGTTAAGGGTCCCTTAGACGTGGTCCTCACACATCACTGACCATGTGTGGCTAGAATGGCAGGAATTTGGGGTGTCCCACTCCCTGTCCCATCTCCTGGGCCTTCATTAGAGTCCTGGCCACTGGAAGGTAGGAACGGAGTCCACAGATGCTGAGATGACCCTTGGCCTTGTGTTATCGGCAAGCTCTGCCCTACGAGGCCCTCTGAGAGTTGTGTATTCCAACGTAGTCAGAGAGACTCAGCTGCAGCAGAGCTGGCCGGCCAAGGATCAGGCAGAGCTATAGAACAAGGGGTCATGGCAAGATGCTTGCCCCCTGCTGGCAGTACCAGCCTGTCCCCATGACGCACTGTCAAATTCGATCATTCTGCTGGACAGAGCCACCGGGGCAGTGTGCTTCTGACGTGTAGAGAATTTCTCAGTGATACAGGCAAGACTGAGCAAGGGTCTGCCTGCTTCCACGCACACCAGAGAACAACCTACCTTCCTGTAGTACTCCAGGAAGCTGACCTCCGAGCCATCTGCCTTCTTGAAGGTGCTCTTTGGATTCTGGTCCCAGTCAATATCATCCACCCTGTAGGTCTTGTTGTTGTACCTGTGGGCATCCAGGACATGGGGCTCCATATCACATTCCCAGACCCCTGGAGATGTCTGATGCTGGAAGGGCAGGGGTAGGGACTGGACAGTGGCTGGAAATGAGGGAATGGAAAAGTAGGAGGAACTTGTCCTTTGTCCCTGACACAGAACAACTGGCTCGCTTCTGCTCACCTCTGCCTGGACCCCACCCCTCCCCGAGCCCCACTGCTCTCCAGCCCCGGGCTCTTGAGATGAAGAAAGGCCATACTTGGTGAGGACAATGAGGCCTATCAGTTCCTTCGACACTTGCTCCTGGAACTTGTGCTCCTCTGTCTGCTGGTACAGATTGAACATGAAGTCTAGAACGGTCTCGCTGCGGAGGACCTTGTGGCTGACGTCTGTGCACAGCATGATGTTGTTTTCATACTGAAGGATGGAGGTGGTGAAGCCGGGCCAGATCACCAACCTGCTGACACAGAGTAGGTCAGGGGCATCCTCATACCCTGGGCCTGGTGTCTGAAGCACAAAGTCCGGAGCCAGCGCACTGCCCTTTTTAGGGCTTTAACAGCATTTGCTAAGTATACACACTGATTAAACTTGTCTTTATGATGGGCCATTGAACATCCTGAGCCACCATCTCCCAGCACCCCCGGCTGCTAATACTGAGGACCGAGCTGCAGGGTACATGGTCTGTGTAGCTGACTAGGATTTTGTTGTTGTTTCAGTGAGTTGTTTTGTTTTGCTCTGTTTTGTTTTTAATGTAAGTAGTGTGGTATGAGTCTGCATTGTTTGGGCCGGGTGTCATGCTCCCTCAACTCCGAGCACTGACACCAGGCTGTTTCTAGTTTACAGGTCATTTCAAAGTCTGTAGAGCCCAGAGGGTAGACTTTCCGCAGCATACAAACCTGTGATTTGGAATATCGATCGGGTCACTTGGGTTGTAATAATTCCGTCCAATTTGTTGCAAATTCATGATTTTCAAGAGCCTACAAATTGAAAGTCACAACAGTTAGCACAGAGAAATCCTAGGGACAACCTGGAGCCACATTACAGTCAGGGTAGGGCTGGCAAGCTATCACTTCTAGCCAGGTCAGTCACTTCTACGACTGCCTGGGAGTTAGCGATGGATCTCAAACCGTCCAAACATTGGGAAAAAAAATTTCAAGACACAATTGAATGGCATCAACTCCATTTGATCACGATATACCAAGATAGCCCACTTACACACTGTCTGGGGCTATGTCTAGCTACAAAAGCAGGGGTGAATGGCTGCCTGATACTACCCAAGTAGCTTTGCTTTAAAAAAAAATGCCCCAAGCAAATGCATTCTATCAGCCCAAGTGTCCCTCACGCTGAGCTATCCTTCCACACCCATGAGCCATCTATGAACTTAAGAAGTAAGCCATGATCCCAAGTACTGTCCCATTTGGATGGCTCCTCACAGGGAAGGGTCTTCTGTAGAACATGTCTTTGTGTGTTTGTGTGTGTGTGTGTGTTTTATATGTGTGAGATATGTGCAGGGGTGTGTGTGTGTGTGTGTCCATGCACGACTGAGGAGGACATCAGGTAACCCGTTCTCTACACCTTACTCTCTTGAGACAGGGTCTTGCAGTGAACCTGGAGCTAGGCTGGTGACCAGCAGACCCAGTGACTCTACTGTTTTACCCAACCTCCAACACTGGAGCTATATGCAAATGCCACGCCTGGCTTTTATGTGGGTGCTGGGGATTTGAACTTGGGTCTTCACACTAGCACAGCTGTCTCCCCAGTGCCTAGAACCTGTCCTTATACGGAAAGTACACTATGTCCTCAAAAGCTAATTGCTCATCATGTGGCCACCACCTGCCCCCAGCAGCCAGCCACCCACCCACCCACCGTGGGGAAGGGGTAGGCAAGGTGCTTCCAAACAGTTCAAACAATATTTCAAAGGCATACTGTCAGCAGCAGTGGGGGACAGGCAGAATCCTGGAAGCAGATAAATTGATTTCCTGTCAGAAAACCACATTTTAAAGTGACCGGGTAGTGCAGTACTGCTAATATGCACACACCAAGCCACCAACCCCTCCCGAGACACTGGCCACACTGCGCATGCTCCTGGCCCCGGCACGTACCTCCTGAAGATGATGTTATAGAACTGCAGGCAGGTGGGCGAGGTGGGCGGCAGCTCGTTGGTCAGGGTGATGGTGATTCTCACGTGCTCCCCATTCCGAGTCTGACTGAATACTTCTGTGACCTAAAGCCAGAGAGGTGAGAACCCAGATCTTACCTCTGTGGAGAAAAGCATGCCCAGGCTCTTGGGGTCTCTGCACTAAGACAAGCCTCTCTTGTGTGAACTGAGACTAAGAAGCTGGCTGAGGAGCTCAGAGTCCTCTGTAACTCTCACGGTCTGTCTCTTGGGGACTCTAAGGACCACATGACTCAGAAAGGACCTCTGGGAGCCCTATTTTCTCTACCAGGAGACCCTTTCTGAGCTTTGCTTTTGGGGTGGGCACCCCCAACCCCCTCTGCCAGTGGAGACATTTGAAATAACCTTGTGCTGAAGTCTCTTAGGTAAAAACAATATTGTCCCATCGAAAGCATGACACCTTCCAATGAGGTCTTCATGTTGGAAGAGCAGTGCAGAACGCAGCCTTCGGGCCTCCATCAAGGGGTTGTAGTCGATGTGGTACTGATACAGGGCCCACTGCGGGCGCGAGGTCAGCCGGAAGTGGTTGGTGCTCAGCTTCACAATGATGCCAGAGGAGCCTGAGGGACCACCACGCACAGTCAGCCCCCTGCATGGTTATGCTCTATGTGACCTCTCAGTCACACGCACAGAGCTGAGGACAGCGTCAGCTTTCCCCTTCAAGGCAGCTGGCCCTGGGAAACACTGCCCTATCACTTCAGGGGACATCATGCGATCCCACCACAAAAAGCAACTGATCTCTTTAGAAGGGGGTTATGCAATGTTTAGCAAAGCTTGTCAGAATACACAACTAAGACAGCTGTGTGTGTGTGTGTGTGTGCGTGTGTCTTACACACACACAGTGGAGGAGCTGGAAAGGCTGTCACTGCTAACAGAGTTATCTCCTCTTCCCTGGGCCAGAGAAGCACTGCAGCCCAGCCCCTTGAAAAGCACCCTCTGAAGAGATGCCTCTGTGAGCCCACCTGTCTTTGACTCTTTGACATGGTCAAGGTTCTGTCTGGTGTTCACACCAAGGTCATGAAAGTCTCGGCGACGCCCTCCTCTCTCTGCCAGGGACAGCTCCTGAAACCCAGCCGAGATCTGCAGTTCTTGAGGAAAGACGGAAGCAACTCAGGCATTACTTGAGTGGGTGGGAGGACCAAGAGCTGGTGGGAGGACCAAGAGCTGGTGGGAGGACCACCAGAGGATGGGAGGACTCCCACAGTGGCTCATGGTGGGGAAATACAGCCACTCTTTTCTGCCTGTCATTCTGTCACCTCCTCCCTCACAGGGCCATCTCTACCCTGCTTCTGGCCACTCCTTATGAGACTCCTTCGCTCTAACAGGCCAGGCACCTAGGGCTATGACGCTAGGACTGGAGGCATGAATTTGTTGTTTGGGAAATAAGGTTTTTGTACTGTTAAGCCTCGAGGGATCCAGGAATTGTAACAGTGGTTCTCAACCCTCCAAATGCTGTGACCCTTGAACACAGTTCCTCATGTTGTAGTGTGAACCCTCCCCCAACCATAACATTATTTTCATTGCTACGTCACAACTGTAATTTTGCTGTTTTGAACTGTAATGTAAATATCTTGGGGGTTGCGACCCACAGGTTGAGAACCACTGGGTCACGGTGTTACTGCTATAGCCTAGGTGAGACTTTGACATAAGTGTGACAGGTAGCCTCCTGACTGCTTGATTCTGCCTGAAGTCAGCAGCAGGGTCGGGTACACTCACATACTGCGTCACACTGGGCATGGAACAGTACTAAGCCATCAATTTTCGTTTATTCTGAAAACTGTCCTAAGAATCTGGGGTTACCAAGCCATTCCATGTGCAGTGTGGATGCAGCCAGGTGTCTGAGAACAACAACACATGGGCCACAAGACGACACTGGCTTTGGTTGGCACTCTAGCTGGAGTCATAGTATGTCTCCTGTAGCAGCGCCTACTAGGGGACTTCCCAAAAACCAGCCTCCCCTCCTTCATGGGGGCAAGACATGTGGGGGGCAATGTCCCCTCAGAGACAAGACTTCCCCCCACTCTCCCGGCAACTGTGCACGCTTTGGCAAAGTGCCTGAGAGCTGGCAGCTGGCTGTGCTGATTCTCTGCCCAGCCCCACAATGTGAAGGCACCTGTCTAGGTCAAAGCCACAGAGTCAGACCAGCTTCTGAGGACATCGCTACAGATGCCAAGACGACATTCGGAAAATGGCTTCATCACACGGAGTAGGCAAACTGAGGTCACGTGTGAAGTTCGTGTACGGCAGAGATGGCCCCAGCATGCTGCAGCCTCTCACCTACAGCCTGCGTGGGGTAGCTCATGTCCCATCACTCAGCAGCAGCGTGGTCCTGGACCCTCTTGGAAGCACAGAGCTCCTGCATATGGCGGCCCTTGACTCCTCCCCGCTTACCTTGTGACTTGGACGCGGCTCCTACCATCCCCCTCTGCCTTCCTCGGCCAACCAAGTCCCCCTCTGTGGGGGACTGCTGAGGTCTCGGTGGGATGTACCCAGGTTGCTGGCTCTGCTCGTGCACAAACACAACAGAATTCCCTTATGCCGAAGGGCGGGCACACTAGTCCACAGTGTTCAGGAACTGAGTTATCAAGCACGTGATTATTCAAAAAGGACCCAACCTCCTCCCGCCACACTCCGTCTCATCTCCTCCCGGCACACAGGTTATACCTGCTTGCTTGAGGTGCTGGGGATAGAACCCAGGGCCTACTACGCCCTAGGCTAATGTTCTACCACTGAGCACTGGGACCAATCTTTAATTCCCTGCCACAAGCCCCGTTGTTAAGACACTACTGAGTTGGGAAAGGACGGTACTCACCACAGTAGCCCCAACATGCTGCACTGTCTCCTGACCTCGGGCCCTGCCGCGGGCCCGGGCTCGGGCTCGGCCAGTCATTTTCTGTCAAGAGGGGAAAGCATGCAATGGGCTTATGTGTAGTCACCATTTTGTCACTAAACCTTTGTAAAGTATTTAAAGTATTTACAGTACTTAAGGAAAGCATTTTAAGATAAGTCCCCAAACTATGTATGCTTGAATCTTTCCTACTGAAGACTTCCCGCATGCATGCTGGGTTAGCTAGCATCCCAACACAGATGTCTTAGGGGAAACCTGGTACTCACTAGGGACTAGCCACTGTGCTAGACGGCAGAGCTCAAGTGGAAATGTACGGTTATAATTTGCTTTCAGGGCGGCTAGAGAGATGGCCAAGGAGCTAAGAACTCTTTCTTCTCTTACAATGGATATGGGCTTTGTCAGCGGCATGCATGTGGTGGCTCGTAACCATCGGTTCCAGGGAATCTGATGGCCTCTTCTGGCTTTGACAGGTTCCAGGCACACAAATGGTACAGATACATGCTGGCACGCACCACACGCGTGCACGCGCACACACACACACACAAACACACACAATCATTACATACATAATAATTTTGACTATTTATGATGGGATGACTTAGGGAGCCAGAGTGTAGAGGATTACAGTATCGAGTTGGATCATTTCTTTCCCGGGTGAGTCTATGAGTCACACGCCATAACCCACAGTGCAAAGGGGCATTTGTAGCATGTTTCCAGGTGGCCCCTCAAGAGAGCCCTTCCTCAGGCCCATGTATCCTCCCAAAGACTCCCTCAGTTCTGACTGCAGCTTGAAAGGAACATACCCTAACCCAAGCCCCCCCCCCCACCTCCTGTGCCTCCCAGAGTCCTGTTCCCAGAACTGCACATCCAGCCTCGGTCTCTAAGGACAAACCACAGGGATGGCTATCTCTAAACTCCTTCTAGGCCTGCACCAATAACTCCCAGCTCTCCACAGTCAGCCTGCTGCTCATCACCCATCAGAGGGGAGAAAGCGGAGGTGGGGTCACCCAGGCTCCAACACCTGAACCTTGAACAAATCACATGCGGGCCAGCTATCTTTCAAATCGTGTCATCTGTCAGGTGCAGCACGCCGTAGGCAGTGGCATGCCTCATGTTAAACACGGGGACATACGACAGGTCTGTGCCAAGTGCTGGGTCACGCACCTGATGTCTTAATGAAAGGAGGAAGAGTCTAGTAATTACAACTCTCCCTGCCAACCTCGTGACCCAGGGATGTCACAGATGTCTTTGCTCCCTTGCACTGGGCCCAGAGCTTGGCACGCTGGCAATGACTACCTTGCGTGACATCTAAAAGCTCCCAAAGTGCATCAACAAGGAGCTCAATACCAGTCACCTACAGGGGATGCTCTCAGATCCGCCTCTGACTGGCAATGGCTACTGCATGCTGCTGATGCTACCCTCTGAAGAGAGGGAAGTCTCCTCCTCCACCCCCAACCCAGAGCCCTGTCAGAGCCAGTGCTGTGGGGCGGGGGGGGGGGGGGCTGTCTGGGGAGCATGCGGAGGTTGGTCCTGTAATAACAACTCTGTCCCTGGGCTCACCCAGTCAGCTCAGGTGTTCAGCTTGGCCTCCTTCCAATCCTACGAGTGTCACGGGCTGGCTGTTGGTGTGGTCACGCCTACAAGAAAGAGCCACACACCTAGCCCAGTAAGAACAGCTTAAGATACAGATCCCATACGCTCAGCAAGGCAGCTCTGATACTAGCTTAGAGACAAACCTTGCTCCAGCTAGCAAAACAAACAAACAAAAAACAAAACAAAAAAAAGCCATTGCATGAAGTGTCTAAGAATGGTAAAGATTCTAACTCCCTGTTGTGGGCTATAGACCCGCAGAAGAGAAAGCAGACAGTTGGGGCTGCATACTAGTCTGGCTAGCACCAGACCACGGCAGCCAGAGGACCCACAAAAGATGGCAATACTTTCAAGGTGCCAATTGTCTCCTATTTCAAAGACTCCCCCTCCAGCCCCTCACATTGGGGGACCTCAAATTCCTACCTAGGGAACCATGTCCCCAAACTAGAGGGCCAGTCACTCCAACACCTCCCAGCTGGCTTTATGATACTAACACCACCTGCTCACTATTTTCTGCTCTCCCGGCTCTCATTCCCAGAGTGCCCACTCCAAGAGGCATCACGTTTTCCTTGAATTGATTCTTTTGGACTCCCACCTGGAGTTTGGGTATTTGAGCAAGAAGAGACCCCCATAACTCGGGCTCAGGGGCACCTGCAGATCTCAGAGCCCACCATGTTAGTGAGCCAGGTCTCTCTGCATTGTAACACCAGCTGTTGGTAACGGCTGGGATTCAGACGTGAAAGGACAGGTAGGCAGGTGTGAAGCCAGTGCAGATAAAGAGAGAGCTGGAGATTGCAGCAGGTGGGGATACGGGTCAGAGATGCTATTATGTGCTTTGGCAAGGAGAGGTGGGAACCAGGCTCAGGCTCGGAGAACCTGAGACCAGGCTCAAATACAGGGAGACATGTGGAAGAGGTACAGGAGCGATGGCGAGGTGAGGACAGGCAGCAGGAGGGATGTGAGCCGGGCTTGGGCACAAGGAGAGAAGAGGATGAGGCCTGAGAAGAAGTTAAAGTGGGAAATAGGCCCAGAACAAGGAGGAGAGGACAAGATCCACGCAGAGAAAGAGGTATAGATGCAGTTCGAGCACGGGGAGAGAGGTAGGGACCAAGCCCAGGCCCGAGCATGGGTCTGTGGAGGTCAAGGCACAGGTGGGCACAGCTTGGTTGCAGACCCTGATTGTCGTGGTCCAGCAGGGTCCGGTCCTATCCTGGCCCCGTGCTCAGCACGCTTAGGTCCGCAGCCCCTGAGGCTCCTCACGCCACGCCGCTGCAGCAGGCTTCTCGCGGGCGGGCGCAGGGGCTGCCACCACCTCGGTGGCACCTGCCGCGGCACCTGCTAACAGCCCCAACTGCCAGATCCCTCCGCCCTTCCGTACAGGCCTCCCGGAGCTACCTCCGCAGACCTCGGGGATAACGGCGAGGTGGACACGTGCTGGGTCCTGATTGGCTGCCACGCAGGTGGCGGTTTTGCGTGGGGCCGGGGGTCTCGAGACCACACCCACCCCATCCCCCTGCTCTTCCGGTTCCTTGCTCCAGGTGCGAATCCTCCTCATTCAAACGATGGCCCTCCCAGCATCCTGCAGTGGAAAAAGTTGGGACTCCAGCTCTGGCTGGGCCTTAAAAGTCGCAAGCCGTTCCGCCCCCCTTAGAAATGGGAGATGTGAAAGAAAGCCGAAAGGATAAGTCATTTTTCCACATTTTGATTTTTCCAAATTCTCGGAGTACTAGGTGGCTGGTCCGGGCCAAGCTAAGATGAGGCAGGTTCGCTGCTTGTTGCTGTATCGCCACAGGACAGGTTAAGAGTCACCCTGTGCCAGGCCCACTACAGATGCCATTGAGGTGGCGCGATCAGGTGCGAGTCTCTGTTCTGAACAGTTGCACGTGATCCTTAAGAAGCTATGCAGGTCCCCCCTGAGTTAACTGGTCTTAACATCCTATTTCCTTGTGGAATCAACACGCACTCCAGTAAAATCAGTGGGGACATTATAAAATGGAGAGGAACCCCTCACGTCGTTCAAGCGGCAGGAAATACGAGATAGAAGACAAAGTGACCTTTCCACAGATGGCAAGCTAGCCGTAGCGGGAACCTGCCAACCTGAGAATCAAGATGGCTTCTGACTTGTAGCGTTGAGTTAGCTAAATAAATAAATAAAGGGACGTGGATGTTCCTTCTTTAGCATGTTTGGCGTCTGTCTGGGGTTTTGGATCTATTTTTTTTGCTATCAAAATATTCGCGAATACCAAATGAGGTTATCTTGGAGTTGAGGATGAAATAAAACCATGGAATTCACTCCGGTTTCAAGCTCACCCTTTAGATACAGCCTAAAGGTGAAATTATGCCAGGTCTTTAGTGCACCTGCCTTCTGGGGCCATCCTGTGGGGTCAACTGTGGGATTTCCCACCAGTGACGTCATGTCAGTTGTCATGAGTTTTTTTACTTTTGGAGCAATTCAGACATGGAGGTTTCAGAATAGGAATAATTAATCTATAGTCATGGGGTTCTCTCAGGCTTGCTTAAAAGTTCTAGTTAGAAAGCAGATGTTACATTTATTATTGAAGTATACTTGCCAGGGGCTGGGAGGGGGTAGGGTGATGGTTTCTCAGCCCTATAATCTCCTACTGAGTCAAGGGGACAGGCTAGATGTCAGGGTTTCTCATGCTAACCTGAGTGTAAAGAGCCATTGGAATAGTTTCTAAAAACCAGAGACTTCCATACATCCCTGATTTGGTAAATTTGGGAAGGGAGGAAGGAGTTTTCTTCTTTGAAGTATCAGCATTCTTTGGGTATGGGGGAGCATGCCCGTTATACCAGCATTCTGGAGGCTGGTGCTGGAGGACCAGGGGGGCAAAACTAGCCTGGTGTGTGTAAGGAAAGAAAAAAATGATAAAGCTAATCTCATTCACTCTTAATGAGAGCTGGGAAGTGGTGGCCCAAGGCTTTAATCCTAGCACTCAGGAGGCAGAAGCAAGTGAATCTCTTGTGTTCCAGGACAGCCAGGGCTATACAGAGAAACCCTGTCTTGAAAACAACAACAAAAGAAAGTTAATGAGGTTAATGAGAAATGCCAAGATATTGGCACAAACAGTTGTTTGAAGGTTTGAAGAACAGAGTCATCATGATGGCTCTTTTTTTTCTTTTTCTTTCTTTTTTTTTTTTTTTTTTTTGAGATAAGGTATCTATGTAGCTCTGGTTGGTTTTGAGCTTACTACATAGACCAGGTTGGCCTCGAACCTGCAATGTTCCTTCTTACTCTGCCACCAAAATGTTGGGACTATAGACTGTGCTTTCATTTGGTAAGCACTAGAAGTCACAATCTGGAAAAACAGCCCCAACTTTTCCACAGGTGACAAGCAAGCTGTTGCACAGCGGCACCAGGAGATGGTGCCATAACGCAAGAGACTGATACTTAATATCTCATGGGGGAACAATCTGGTCCTGAAGGGACAGCA